TTTTTTTTTTTTTTTCTTTTTATTTTATTTACACTGTAAAACACATTAGGTAGTACTGTTCAATTTAATTGCTTGTGTGAGTCCATCGGGAAACGTACATACGTAGTAGAAAAATACTTTTGCACTGTCTAAAAGAAGAGATGTGAAAAGAAAAGAAGAAGAAAAAAAAAAAGGAAAAAAAGAAAGTGCTAGCAATGCACCAATGACCGTATTACCTACGGAGTGTATCTGTATGTACGTTTGGGTGAAAGAGCACTGAGTAGCTAATTTTTTACACATCGTTATTATCTTTATACGTACTACACTGTTTCTTTTTGTTTTTCTTTGTCTTCTCCTTTGTTTTCAATGATCAACGCTCCTTTTCGCTCCTTTTTCGCTCCTACTACCGCCACACTTGTCTTCTCTGCTGAAAATGGCTTCTCCTCCTTCGTGAATCCACGTTGCCACCTGTCCATCTTACACGTATCCATCGCCCAATCATTACCCGAGCAGCAATAGAACGAATGTAAAGTCGGGAGTGTCCGCCCTGTCTTCCACCAGTACTGCGTTTGGAACAGCAGCCAGTAATAACCGCCTCGACCACGCCGGGAATGGACACATCGACGAAGCACTGCGGCAGCAAGCCCTCGCGGAAGAGGAGGCTGCTATGAATCAGTACAAGGTACCAGAAGGTTGTCCGGTTCGAGGACCACTGGTGGAAAGTATGACGAGTCGCGTTTGTCACAGAAACAAAAAACACAGTGGAAATCATGATAGAAAAGCGAAGCTCATATCATATTTCTCTCCCGGTGGTTCTCACTCTTTTTATTTTTAAGTAAGATTTGAATAACGCGCGCTTCTGTGAGAATCTGCACTTCTCAAAAACAGATTGTCCAGACAGTTCTTTGTTTGTCTGTCTACTAATACAGTAACTTGTGCTCGCTTTTCACCACCGTTCATCGTGCTTCTCTATTTTAGGCGAAGGTGCAATCACCGTCGAGCGGACCAAGTACGAATCCATTCCTCAGTTCGCCGACGAACAACGCCAATCAGCCGATAGTTGATCTGTTCAGCGCGCCATCAACGACAACGACCGCCGAGAGTCAAGTAACTAGAGAATGTTTATTATTATCCAAGGGAGAGATGCATTTACAACCTCTCGTTCCGTTGTCACGATAATTATGTAACGTCATTCCGTTGCTTGCAGCCGCAAAAAGCGTCGGACGACCTGCTCCAATTAGCGGGCAACCCTTTTGCGGACATGTTCGGAGCGCCGCAGCCTGCAGCTGCACCGACCACGCAAACGCAGAACAATATGTGGATGACTAACGGTAACGGTAAATACGAGTATTTTATTTTATGTTCTTTACTTATTTGTTTAGTAATTTATCTTTCCTTCGCTGAGCTTCGTTTCGGGCTCTACTGCAACTTCCAGGAGCACAGGATCATTGTTTTAAAATAAATAACATTTTGAAGGTACATGAATTTTGTGCTGTTCACGCACATTTGCAATGTGCAATTGTAAAAGAAAAAAAGAAAAAAAAAGTCGTAAGTTCAAAGTGTGACTCCGAAACGAAATTTAATTTTTCGTTTTTTTTTTTTTTTTTTTTTTTTTTTTTTTTTTTTTTTTTTTT